AACTTCTGGGTGACCAGGTCACCACTGATGTCACTTCCAGCACAGGAAATGATGTCAGCAGCAACCCAATGACCCAGAGGTTGGTCTTTTCTTTTAGCGTGGGAAGCTGGACGGCTTTCTGAGCACTTGCAGAGCGAGTGTGGAAACTCTGACCAAGCTAGTTGGGATGTTATGGCCACTGTGTTATAAACGGAGTTCTATTGTAGGGCCTCAAGCTCGCCAAAATCATTTGAGTTCAGTTTTTCTATGTTCCAAGAAGCCTTCTCCTTGAAGGCTTCTTTTCTCATGCTAAGTAATCCATTATAATGACAACTTCAGGGGCCTCCTGTTGGGCCCTGGGAGACTTGACCGTACTGGACCTGGTCTAAGAACTGAATAGCCTGGCTGTAAACTCGGAGACATGACCCGGGTGGGGGGGTAGGGGTGTGCAGAGAAATTGTATGTGAGAGAGAGAGAGAGCAATAGAGAGAGGAACACACCGCACGCACACAGTCAGGAATAGAGAGCTCGTCTGAGCAAGCGAGTGTGTGTGAGAGAGAGAGGAGGGAGAGAGCGAGAGTGTGAAAGAGAGAAACAACAAAATTACATTTGTATAGCAATAAAGAGAGAGACACACACACACAAAGTCAGCGAGAGAGAGCACGCCTCAGAGAGAGAGAGAGAGACAGAGCGCACACACACAGGAGACATGGGAACTCGGGCAGCCTCTGATAAAGGAACGATTGTAGTGACCCACTGGATTGGAAACGACTAGAGCGGCTATAGAAACAAAACTGGCAGGAAATATAAAAGAGAAAATGATTTTTGGAGGAAAAAAAAACACGCACAACAAAGAGACCGGAGTTATTACAGCTTAGCGGAATAAGCTCACTTTGTTGTTGGGCACAGACAAAGCCGATTAGGAGAAACCGCTGACAAAGCAGAAGGCTTCAGACTAATTATGCACTTCACAATTTCAAGCTTGGGTAAGATGTTCCGAAGCTGTAAGTTGGTCCCGATTATTAGGTTTCAAAAAGGCTGAGAATGGAAACCGGTGTCTGTAACACTCAGTTTCAGCTGCTATACGCTCTCTCTCTCGTTTGCATTCGGTTTATTTATTTTTCACGTGTAACATTACTGCTTCCCCTTCCTCAAAATAACTCCCACGTCATCTCTGGACGATGAGGACAGGAGGAGGGAGGGGTGGGGGTTAAGGGGTGGGAGACATTAGCAGGACTTCAGAGAACAGAAGGCGATGGATGAATGAGCTGCCCTCACCCCAGATAACCTCAACTCTAAATGCCTCTCGTCCCCAGGTTCCTACAAAGACGCCTGCGGTCACAGACTGGCCAGACTTCCTCAAATGAATTGGACTCTGCGAGGAGCTGGATCTTACAGGGAACAATACTTGGGAGCAACGGCAACAGCAAATTACATTTATATAGCGCCTTTCATGTCAGGAGGACATCCCAAGGCTTTGGACAATCAAGGATCCACACCCGAGCTGGTGGTTGGGATCAGGAGGGGTGGAGGGCGGGGAGAGTAGGGGGAGGATGGTTGCGGGATAGTAATCAAGAGGGTTTGGACCGAAAGACACAACAACTTCTGCTGTTGCTTCTCCCCCCCAACACCCCTTGTCAACACTGAGGTCCTTTGCTATTGAGGGGGAAAGTCCCCTCCCTAAATAAAAGGCCAATCAAATGTATGTAAAAATTATGTACATCTCCCTTTCTTCCAAAGAGAGCATTATAAAAATCATAAATCATCTTTATTTCTCTCTTCCGCCCCCATTCCTTTTTTAAAAAAAAAGTATATTGATCCAATGCTGAAACTCACCCCACACTTTTCCAAATCTCTATCCATTAGGTTTGATTTGCTGTTTGTGGGGACGCTGCTGTGCTCAATTGGCGGTTGCATTTTGCAAATAGTCAACCCACTTTACACTATAACCAGTGGAGTGCTTTGAAATGTCTCGACGTGATAAGGCGCTATATCAAATGCGAGAATTATTATTATTATTTCCAGTGGTGACCTAGTGACCTTGAAGTTGGCCATTTTAACGTGATGAGCCAGCCGGCAGTGAGCGCCTGGACTGGTGCAGGGTGAATGCATACACTGCAGTCACGTTACAACTGAACAGGGGCTATATATAAAGGAGAGCATTTCAAATTGGGAGCACGGTATTGTGAAGCAATAATTGTAGAGCTATGGCTCACAATGCTAAGTCCATCCTCTCTCACTTGAAGGAATTAACACTGAAATTGTCAATGTGCGCAGAGAAGCTCATTTACTCCGAGCAGGGAAGATTGTGACGGTAACCTGGGGCTCTGTACATGTAACTATGGAGTCCTATGACCATAAGAACGGGAAACTGACTAATTAAAGAGAGAGACTGCAATGATAGGAATAAAGCATTGGGAGTTTAACACTGAAGCCCAGAAACTTCATCATTAGTGCAAGTGTCTTAATTGTCACACAAGACAAGGGGTGGGGGCGGCAAATGGTTATCACTTAATCTTTGAATTTTTTTTGATCCTGTGAAACGTTTCCTTTCAAAACGGCCTTCCCTCAGTTTATTTTCTCAAGCACAGTTTGGAGGGGTTGGAGCCACTGTCTCAAACGGTTCATCGCATCACATCACAACGCTCACAGTATTTGATGGTGATTTATATGCGCCAAAGACTTTAACAGAATAAATCTAATGGGCGACTGCTCTCCCCCACCAGGCATCAAGTAACTGCCTGGGATGAAATTCCACCTCATCGACCCCTTCATTTGGCAAACCTAGGTTTGCCTTGCGTCCCCTACCCTCTCCGATCCAGAAAAGGTAGCCAAGCCCACGCTCCTAATCCCCATCTCGCCACCCCACCCACTCCCCCTATCAGTCTAAGTTTAAGCCCTCCGAGACTCCGTCCGGCATGAAGGGTACTATACAAATGCAAGTTATTGCTATTGTCAAGTTGTAGCTTCAACTCCTACCTGTTCGAACGGGCTTCTGGCTACCACCTACCACCTACTTTGCCCTTGCGTAGGGTCCAACCCCTTCCCTATGCACCACTCACACACATTACTCTAGGTGAAGGGTGCTATATAAATGCAAGTTGTCACTGTTGCCGCTTTATCTGCATTTTGGTATAGTGTCTTATCATGTTGGAAGGACGTCTCAAAGCACCTCATGGGGTTTACTGTGAAATGTAGTGACTGTGCATTTGTAGGCAAACGCAGCAGCACAATTTGCGCTCAGCAATGTCCCCAAAACAGCCATGAAACGAGTGACCAATTTTATTTGAGGCACTATACAAATGCAAGTTGTTCACCGGGACACCGGGAGAAACTCCCTTCTCTTTTCAACAGTGACATGGGAATCTTTACTGATCACTTGAACGGGCAGATGAGACCTCGGTTTAATATCTCAGACCGCCGGCCAGACATTTGGAGTGTCAGCTTAGACTACATAAGTGATTACACAATTCCTGACATGGGATTTGACCCCACAACCTTCTGACTCAGAGGCGAGAGCGCTGCTACTGAGCCAAGCTTGAAACATGTCAGGATGCAGCGATCAAGTTAGCGGTGAGTGTCCCTGGGCAAACATCAGCAAGGGAATCGAATGCTGATCCCCCAGAGCTGGGGCCGCTAGCAGAGAGAGCATGAGTGCGGAGGTCAGGGCGAGGAAACAGTCTGCGCGGCTTGGAAGCCCTCCTTCTTCAAACAGCCTGCGGAAACCCATTGTTCGGGCTCAGGCTTGAAGGAAAGTTTACTCGGTCCTTGTGTTACCCCCAGGAAGAGCCGGAAGGAAATTAGCCAGAGAAGTGGGTAACAAGACACCACAGGTGGCTGGATGTTTCAGTGATCTTTGAGCAGGGCACAGATGCAAACTCGGTTTCCACACAGGAAGCAGCCTTTGCCAAAAGGGCTATAAATTGTTGCTGGCCTGACCTCACGTCGCTTACCTCGCCACTGTGATCCGAAGCACCGAAAGCCGACACCTCCCAGCTGTGTCCCCACCGGTAATACCAGGCAGGGAGGGGACACTGCTCTCAGTCAAACCATGTTGCAAATTACCTTGCAAACTGTGCAGATCGGCTGCACTCTCGCCTCGGAGTCAGAAGGTCGTGGGTTCAAGATCCCACGTTGGAACTTTGCACACTCCCGTAGTCCAGACTGACGCTTCGATATAGGGCAGAGCGCTGTGTTGTCGGAGGTGCCGCCCTTCAGACGAGACGTTAAATTGAAGCCCCGTCTGCCTGCCTGTTCATCCCATGATATTGCTCGAAAAGAGAAGGGGGATTCTCCTCCCACTGTCCTGTCTTCTCCCCCACCAAATAAAATTGGTCGTTCATTTCACGGCTGTTTGTGGGGCGTTGCTGTGTGGAAATCGGCTGCCGCGTTTGCCTGTACACAGTCGCTACACTTCACAGTAAATTCCTCCGAAGGGCTTTGAGACGTTTCAATGGTATGATAGGGTGCCTTACCAAATTCAAGGAGTACTGCATTTTAATTACTGCTTGTGCTTAGTAAAAAGTTGCTGTTAACATTGCACTCACTCCATCTTTGTCAGAGTTAGCCGGAGCAGTGATGGGCCGTCATTCAGAACCTCCTCCTATCAATCTAGTCTCTACATTGATTCCCATACATGTGGGAATAGAGCTCCTCTCCCCCCCCCCCCCCCACTGGATCTTATTCTGCCACAAACGGGAGTCTTTTTTCCTGGTAAAACAGGTGAAGCGCTTTGAGACATTGAGACGCCCTCCCGACATGAAAGGCATCGCATCAAATGATTATTTTTGTGTGGTTTAAAATAAGAACCACAAGGGCCACCCAAGGGAGCTGAGCGACCCACATACCGTAGCAGAGACGGGACCCCACATCACACGCAGACTTAAGACATACTTGACCAAAGTCGTGTAATCCCATTTTACACTGCCATTTACCACCGAAAAGCTTCCAAACACTTCTTTGTGGATTAAAAACGTGGCTTGAATTCCCCGCATGCCACGCCGTCTTTATCTCGCACTCACCTTGCCAAACTGTTCAAAGTATTGCTTCACGTCGTCTACTACTGTATTTGCAGATAATCCGCCTACAAATATTTTCTTTGTTCGTGTGACCATCTGAAACAGAGAAAGGAGAGGCACAAAGCGCGGTTCAGTGATTTATAATCTGACGACGAACTTTCAGCGACCCCCGCTGAGATACGCAGGAGAAGGCGAGCGCTGGAGCGTGAACACGGGACTTAGTCACTGAGCCCAGAGATCCCTTTTAATCTCGGCCCCACACAAACAGTCTGCAGCGCTGACTTTAGATCCGTCTCAAGACCCTCCTCTTCGACCATGCCTTCGGTCACCCTCCTACCCCTACCCTCCCCGCCCTCCACTACTCCTGATCCCAACCACCAGCTTGGGTGCCGTTCCCTGACTGGCCAGCGCCTTGGGACGTCCTCCTGACGTGAAAGATGTTGTGTAAATGTAATTTGCCTAACCGACCCGACCAGGGGTGACCTGCTCTCAAAGACTCGCACTTGTTAATGTGGGGGGGCCTGAGACGGGGGGTGGAATGGGGTGTTGTTGCCCCTGGTTGGCAATCTGGAGTGAGTACCCCTGAGCTGGTTTTTCCGCTCAATGCCCAATTTGAAAGCTGTTGCCAGACTCCGGAACAGCCTCCTGCCCGCACACGCTACACGCAGAAGCCGTGCGTGCACACCTCCAGTAAATACACAAAGACTTAAAGTGTAGCATCAAATTCCTCCTAAATACCGATGCTTCTTGCTTCAACCACTGCTTTCATCACCGAGTTCCACATTCTCACCATCCTCTGCATAAAGAAGTTCCTCCTAAACTCCCTGTTAGATCTGCAACATTAAGCTCTCCAGTTTTGGACTCACCAAAAGGTGGAAACAAGTCTACCAACCTCATTAAAACGTTTTGTAATGTTAAAAATCTCTGACACAGTCCCCTGCTATAAACAGCCTCCACTATACTGAGCACATCGTTACAGAGCAGACCTGTATAATCTCAGTAGGTTCAATTCAGATGCTACTGATAATAGTAATCCTTGCATGGGAAATAGCGTCTTATCATGTCTTTGAGACGTCTCAAAGCACTTCACAGAATATACTGTAAAGTGAATTGATTGATCACCGAAGGGAAGTGATCTTCTTCCCACTCAATGATCGGGAGAGAAGGGGTGGGAAGATGGGAAGGAAAGGAGGAGGCGTCATAGGACAGTCTACAAGAGAACACAAGTTTTTTTAAAAAAGACGAAAAGGCCATTTTGGGCAAATAAGCTGAGGTCTTTTAGATTAAAAATGTCTTTGCTGTTTTACTTCCTGAAAAAATTATAAATGTTAGAAAATGGGGAGACAGGAGGAGAACGAGGAGGCTGAGGGATCGCTTTATTATGTGCGGAAAAAGGCATTTACAAAGCACGAAACTCCCTTTGCTGAGTGCCCCTGCACGGCTGTGACATTTAGGGATGGTCCCTTAACGAGCAGCAATAAATTCACGTGAAAACCAAACGGTTGGAAGTCAGCCCGCAACAGTCGGCAAGAATTAGGGCCAGACATTCATTCTATCCTCCTTGCTCGCTGGCGCGATCGAGTCTTGTGAAGGATATGTCGTTTCCACGTCCAGTTTGGGGGTGGGGGCCGAGAATAAAATGGTCACAGGGTCGATCAGTGGCCAGACCTGGTGTTTTGTTTGACATTATTAATAGTATTAATCCTTACATTTGATATCAGGCTTTGCACACATTTCTCAAAGCAGTCGTTTTTAAGACAAAGAATTCAAATATAATCACTGGTAACGGTCTGTCCACAAACGCAGTCACTACGCTTTACAGGTGCTTTGAGACATCCTCCTGAGGCGTTACACTAAAGGCACGGAATACAAGAATAAAATAATAATAATCCTTGCATTTGATATAGCGCCTCGTCACGTCGTCAAGACATCTCAAAGCCCTTCACAGTTAAGTGAATTGACTGTGTATTTTGTGGGTGAAACTCGGCAGCTAACTGCGCGCAGCAGCGTCCCACAAACAGTCGTGGATTGAGTGACCAATTTTTTTTTAAAATTTATTGTTTTAAGGGATGGTTGTGAAATGCTGCACCTTCCAAAGCATTCGGTGACGGCAAAATCTCTCCCAAAAGCAACACCGACACAACCTCAGACACTATGTACATTAAAATAGATTCTTATGACGTGGAGAAGCAGGTCAGTAGCCAAGTGCCAACGTCTGTTTCATTGAACAATGAAGTATCGAAGCAGAGGAGGAGCTGAGGATAGAGTTACAGAATGATACTGTTTACCATTTGCGACGGTAAAACGTATCTATCGTCTTCAGTCTGGGCTCAGTTCCTCCTTCAACGCTGTACAGAGTTGTTCCTGGAGAATACACTGTTCATTCAACACTACTATTAACGACTGTTAGATAGATAAGAGGCATGTACATACATACAGCGAGCTGAGAGAGAGAGAGAGGGGGCGGTTTGCGTACAGGGATAGTTAAGAGTGAGCGAGAGCCACTCACAGGAATTGAGAGAGATAGCGAGGCACAGTCACGGGGACACAAGAAGGGTTTGAAAGGGAGAAAGAGTGACAGAAGGTGAGGGAAAGACAAGACAGACAGAACCAGCAGATTGGGAGAAAGAGACAGAAAGAATGAGAGAGAGAGAGAGACGGGTAGAACCTGAGACGGAGTTAGAGAGACACACACAAACTGAAACGCAACAGTGTGAGACACAAACACGTCTGAGACAAACCACACAGCAAAAAGAAATTTGGTGACTAAATCCACGAGTGTTTGTGAGTCACAGCTGTGGACAATTAGCTGCCACGTTTCACCCACAAAATACACAGTCAATGCACTTTACAAAATATTCTGCAAAGTACTTTGTGACGTCTAAACGACGTGATAAGGCGCTGCATCAAACGCAATAATTATTTTTATTAGTAATATCTAAAACAAGTCAACTTTCTGAGGAGATAAAAACAGCAGCAGTAAAGCCAACAGCTTTACTTTTTCCTTTACATCCAAGCTTGCAGGTAGCACTCAACCTACAGTGCAATAACCCAAAGTTCCTACAACCAAAGCCTATTTCAAGACAACCATTACACACTAATTAGGCCCCGACCTGGGGGGCATTCAAACAGAGCCACTAGTAAACAGAGGAAATGCTCAATTTATTTATTTCATTTGAAACCCTAATAGCAAGGCACGAAATGTGGACTCAGCCACAGCAACCCCGAGCTTCATAATGAACATCATTACAGCTCGACAATAAACAGAATTAGCGAGGTCTGTTTGGAAGACAGTTTAAAGGGTGTTTTGTCTGCCCACTTGCTATTACATTACGTGTCTGACTTAATTTTCAGGTGCAGTTAGGTACAACACCCAGGGAAAACGTGCAAACATTTATTTATTCGGCACAGCCTGCTGCACAATCGCTGGAGTTAACCGCGTCAATGTCAGTGGGTGTTTTTGGTTCCAGTGTCCGCTGGCTTCGGAGTCAGCTCCTGGCAGTGGGAGTTGCGTGCTAAATTGTTGAGTCCATCTGTGACACTCCTTCCCTGGGAGCCTTAAAATAGCGTGTTGGGATTGAGCTCGGGCCTGTTTTCAGCTCTGTGCTGAGGTAGCTGACAGCAGGTAGGCTTGCTATAATTACAGATGGCCCAGTCACTACTTTCCTGACGCCCACAACAGCACATGAAGAACGGCCTCTTGGGCCGAGACACCAGTTGGCAGATAGTGAGTCGCAGGCTACGGCTGTAATAATAATAATCCTTGCATTTGATATCACGTCATTGAGACGTCTCAATACGCTTCACAGGATACCCTTCAAAGTGAATTGACCGTACATTTTGTGGCTGAAGTCTACATTCCAGTGTGTTACATTCCCAATTGAGTGTTCAAAATGGGCTGCCAAAATCATCCTCAAACAGGCAACTGGCCCACCACACTGGGGAGCAACTCCTTGTGAAGTGTGGGCTCCGGCCTCCTTCACGTCGCTTGCCCCACCACGGCGGGAGGGCCTTCAGCCTCTCTGTTCCCACCCTCTGGAACTCCATCCCATAGTCCCTCCACCTCACCCCCTCCTTGCCTCCCCTCCTTCAAGATGCATCTCAAAACCCTCCTCTTTGACCGTGCCTTCGGTAGCCCTTCCCCTTACCGCCCTCCACCTCTCCTGATCCCAACCTGCAGCTCGAGTGGAACCCTGACTGTCCAGCGCCTTGGGCTGTGTAAATGTAATTTGTTGTTGTTGAGACATTTCAACATTAGAGGTGTCTTGTGAGATGTAAAGGACTGTGGCTTGCCACGCCATTGCCCAAGACACCCTCGGCTGGGAACAATCCGGAGCCCACTCTCCTCCAAACGTTCAGTTCCCTTCTCTCTGGGTTCCCAGCGCCTCATAAAGCCCCACTGCTCACTGCATAAAATGTGAAGCTTGCAATAATCCCTTCCCACTCCAGCCGATGTTCTCTCATATAGAGGAACAAGCGGCCCCACACTGAGAGTTAAAGATCCACTTACACATGCCAGAGGCTGGTTTGGTGTGCCCGAGGGTGTGAAGTATTCTGTAGCTAAACGCTTTTCAATGCAGGTCACAGATTTCATACAGAGATGTGAACTTTGATCAACTAGTTAGTGGGCAGCAGGACATTGGGCGGAATGCCCTCTGTGTACTGGGTGCGACCGGAGTCAAAGACATCCTGAATCTGGCTCCTTACACAAGGCTTGAAGTTGGCTGACCTCAAGGTGCAGAAACTCAGCGCAGCAGCTCGGCCAAATAGTCTCTTAGATTAAAGGGAGCATGGGACCAGAGTAGGCACACGCACACACACCAGGCGTTTTCCCTCGTGACATTTCGCTTCTGGCGATGAAGCATTATATGTCAGGCCTGTGAGCTCAATCAGCCCATCGTAGACTTTGGATGAGATGTCGAACCGAGGGTCCCGTCTGCTTGTCCAGTTTGGACGTTAAGGATCCCGTGGCGCTATTTGAAAGGGAGGGCAAGGGGAGTTTCTCTCTTCCAGTGCCTTGACTGACAATCTCCCTCAGCTGTTTGTGGGATATTGCTGCACAAAAATCGACTACCATGTTCGCCTATAAAAATACA